ATTGAGATTTGTTCTTGTGAAAGCAATTAGCATTAGGAGGCAAGTTCTGAACACACCACTTAAGAAATTCTCAATAAAGACAAAAGCAACAGTGCAATGTATGTACAGTTCCAAAGCACTGGATTTTAAATCAAGTTCAATAAATACATCTTACAAAGGATAAATATCTATATTTAAGCTAAGTTGTACCAGTTTGCTGGAAGCTTGTAAAATATCTGCCCAGAATGAATGAAACAGCAATTACTGCTTCATTCATAAATATACAGTATTGCTAGTTCTACATAGATACTTAAAAGTTGTCCTCACAGCATATGAAGTTCAATTTAATGCACTGTACCCTGAAACATGACAGCATCTGTGAGAGCAAAAAATTAAAAGGCTGGACAGCATGGTAATCAGCTGCTAAAGATTAATGCAGCAAAACATACCCTTCTGCACCTGGGTTGTCTGGGGTTTCATTTGGGTTCTCTTAATAACAAAAGAGCTCACTCCCAGTAACTTTCATCTCCCTCTGCTTTCTTTTATTTACCAGTAATGATATGGAAGTATATAGAAACGGTCATTCCTATCATTTTTGCTATAGATATCTGCAGTATTCATTCTTTTTCTTTCTTTGCTTTCTTAATTGGTGGCAGAATACTCTCTACCGAATGTAACTATATACAAATAGTCCTTTATCCAGTATCAATCCATCTCCTGAGTTTTAAATTATTGTAGAAAAATGCTTGGTAGCAACAAATTTAATATTGTGTGCAATAATTATAAAAATGAGTGAAGAGTCGACTGATGTTGAGAAAAACAGAAGAGTGTGAAATAATCTACTTGTATATCAGGAGATCTACTGACCTTGGAAAGATATTGCTGTCCCTCTAATTATGTGCCCTTGCAGTAACTGATTTCATTAACCATTCAGTCCTCAACCACTATGCTTTCGACAGCACTTTAGATCCTATGCACAAACAACCTCACAGAAATAAGATTTTGGATTGCAATGTTTCTCCAAAATATGAGGGGATTGGCTCCCATCTAGGATAAAGAAGCACTTTTTCCTTTGTTCCTGGGAGAAATCAGAACTGCGGGGTTCAACCTGCAAAAAATGTGAGAACTCCTCACTGAATCTCACTTTAATCCAGAAATTCTTAACCTGCCTATCCCCATTAGCAACAGTCCTCCTCAAATTACTTCTACTCATATACCTTTTGCACCATCTGAATATCTAGACCCCAGAAGACCATTTGGTTTCACTTTTGAGCTAGAAAATCTCTGAACTCTGCTCCAAATATGTACCCGTTCTCCAGCCCTTGCTCCTGTAGCTGAGTCAAGCTAAAAGACAACCAAGTCATGTCCAGAGATACTAGTGGAAAGGGGCTCTATTACAAAGACACTCAGACTTCTAGATCCAAAAGGTAAAGACAAATGGTAGTGCCACAATAACTTAATTTTTTCAAGAATTACTGAGAGTTTAAAAATTGAGAGGTTAACTACATAGTTAGTGGGTTAGTTCTAGTGGTTTCAACACATATTTGACTGGAGATTAAATGGTTAATAAAAAAGGAACTGAAGTTGTCTCTGTACAGTCCTTACTTGGCAAACAAAAGTAACAACCCTCAATTTTGGAAACAAGGTTTCTTCCCCTTTAACCATGTCAGGCTTACCTATCTGTGAAGTCATGCTGAAAACAGACCTCGCTGACCTAACTGTAAAGTCATTGCTGAAAACAGACCTCGCTGGTCTCATTGGTGCAGGCTGTTACGGGAACTTAAATCTGACCATCTCATGCAGAAGCTGTGCAAAGATTTTCAAACTAGATCAGATGATAGCAACAGCAACTTCACATGAACTATGTCTAAAGCAAAGCTATCCAAATACGACCTCTGAGGGTTAGTTTCCTTTTAACCTCAATAATGCCAACCTTCTCAAGTGCTTCCACAGGAAGAGTTACAACCAATGACATCACAGCTGTAGGCTCATGGAAGTTCTAATACAGACAAATGTAAGTGGCACAAGCACATCTAAAAGCTGACCCAACTATTGTGCAATTACATTTTCTCACCACAAAGGTTACAGATTGTCTTCACTTATCAACAAGAGCTGTCAATCTTCAAAAGGCCTCTCTAAAACACCTAACAAAAGTTTTAGATTAGTTATTTGTTTGCTAATAGCATCACTAATATTACAGCAGCACTCAGAAGGCATATTTATGGATCAGTGCTTGTACTGGGAGCTGTTCAAATGCAAAACAAAGACACGAATTTAGTACTGAAGAGCTTATAAACACAAAATCAGTGCACTTTCTTGAAATGTCCAGGGAATAACCTATTACTTCTTGATATTTACATGCAAGCATATCTCTATTAAAGTTTTCCGGCAATACCTTTATTCCCTCATTCAATGTACTGATCCACTGCTATCGCATTCCGTACTCAATATATGCTGCAAATACCATACAGCATACTCTGTTACAACAGGCATGATGATTGACCTTTAAAATTTGCATATCATTCACTCTAAATTTGGCTCCAGAATGTGGCATGCAATCTGAAATAGAGGGAAATTGTCAAGAGAAACAGCCAAAAAGCTGAGTGCTTATCTAAAATGTATCTCGAAGGCTAGTCTGGAAAACTGAGAATTGGGCTTAAGGAAAACAAAACGAAAAAAAATAAAATAAAAACAGCCTTTAATGTGGTACATTGGAATCCCTGTCTGCAACCAGGATGGTGAACCATAGTGGCCTTCAGAAAAAGGAGATGAGGCTGACCAAATTTTCTACCCTTAGAATACTTGTAATTTGAATTTTGTTTGAATTGTGGCTAAGGGTCTATCCAAAACAAACCTCTGCTTTGCTTGGCCATCAAAATTACCATGGATTTCATTGTCTCCACAGATGCAGTGCTGATCTAATTTATAGCAGCTGCAGAATACTTAATTAAGCCTTTTCTGGCCATCTATGGCTGTTTGCTTCTGTACCACATCATCATGCAGCTCAGGACAGATAAATGCTTGAGTGTCACACATTAAGCAAGGAGGTGCAATCATATTTTTTGGTTTGGGTTGTGTATTATTTTGGCAAAATATCTGAAAATATCACAATACCTTACTCAGGCAATTCCATTTCAGGAAAAGAGAAGGAATGCACAGTCTAAAAAATAAATCAGCCTCTCCAAGCCTTTCCCTAAATGAAAAGGGGTCACAGGAGATTCTGTGATAATCATATGAACAAGTAAATGTGGCGGCAAGAATGAGAAAGGTGGCTCTTACTCAGAACACTAGTGCTGGAACTTAATTTCTGGGAACCCTTCCTCTTGGAGAGAAGTATGGAGAAACTTCTTTTGAAATGACCCACTAGAGAAGAGATTTAAACCTCCTAAAGCTGCATAAGTTAAATAAGAAATACAAAGTTTTCTTCCCTTACATCTAGATGTTGTGCGAGATACTGGAAGACATATAAAGATTTTAAAGATGGAGACTGCCAGTGCAGTACTTCGTGGCTGGCAGGAACCTGCCTGATCCCTTCTGTGAATTCAAGTTACTCCACAGCTGGTCTGATTTAGTCTCTGTTTGGAGAGAGGCCCTTCAGAGAACAAAGAGCCATCAAAACACAGCACTTCTGCCTCCAGCACGCTCTCTGTCTTAAGAGACTCTGCTGAACAGTAAATATGTTGTACTTCTTGGGTGAAGGCTGCTTAAAGATCTAGGTAGACTTCAATCACAGTTGTATTAAACCATATGATAAACTGCACTTCAACCAAACGCCTTGTTTTAAAAAATAAAAATCTAATGTTTCTGAGGCATATGAAGATGCAGAATAATCAGACAGATGAGCAGCAGTTCATGAAAATAACACTCCCCAAAAATATTCTTACAATACATCCTGTACTTGACTCCAAATTTCCACTCTAATCTCACATTTGATTTATTTTTTATATTTTTGCATAGGAAAAGCCCATTTAGCTTGAAATTTCACCGAATTAACTTTATGTCAGAAGAGACTGAGGGGAGGGGGCAGAACTGAAACTGGTTTCTGAGCTGTTGAGTTTGTCTGAGACTAAAGCTTTGCTTGCTGATTTCTGACTAGCTTCAAAGATGTTCATACACTACTTCCATGCAAGTCTAGACTCACAATTTTGGAGTCCCTAAATCTCAATGGGGGAAAGGTTGGTAGGTTAAATTCTTCCTTTAGTTACATTTAAGTAAAACCACTGACTACATGTGTTATTCCCCTAAAATACATACATGTATATATAGACTACATACACTTGGTGGAACGTTGCCATAGGATTATGAGGATGCTTGAATATCTTACAGACAGGCAGTGGCTGGTAGAGGAACTGGAGTAGCTGCATATCCAAAGACTAGTTCTGAGGCAGGAATAGGATCTGGGTGACCACAAGCCTCGATTTAGGGTCCCATCTCAACCTGAGAGCGTAAACTGTGTTTCAGCAGGCTTGAAGGGACTTTGGACATGGCACATGAGCTCCCCAGCATCCACACTGAGCACAGATTCAATGTTTCTATAGCTGTTAATTCCTTCATATATAAATTCAGTCTCATTTTCAAACAAATAAGCAAAATTCAACTAATAGCCTATCCCTCAAAAGCATGTGTGACAAACAGTGGATATCACCAGGTTCAGATCTGATTCTAATATTAGTCTGTGCTGTCATTCACAAAGTAATAAATACCATTTTTACACTTTCAGCACAATTTCAGCAGTATCTCAAAAATAAAAAACACCAAAAAAAAACCAACAAACCCACAAAACCCATACTTGTCTACAAAGAAGTTACCTCCCATCTCTAGTATTAAAATTGTTAAAAAAAGAAATAAAGCAAAGCAAACATTACAATAAAATCTTTGATAAAAATAATCTCTGGAAAACTGTTCATAAGATATTTAAAGGACAGTATCAACTTGCAAGCCACAGTTTCAGAAACTGCCTTTTGTAACAATGAAATACTTCAAATCACCAGAAGTGGATCAATTTAGCAAAACAACCAAACCTCTTTTCACTCTTGACCTAGTGTGCTTGGCAGCCTTCTCCTCCTCTACAATCAGCCTCTTCCCTGCAAAGGCCCTTGAAAAGATAGACAAGGGAGCACGAAAAAATTTCACTTTTTAAAAACAGGGTGTTGAAATAACAGCTTTCTGAGAGCCTGGAAAGCAACAGATAATGCTCTAGACTACACTATGTCCAAGCTCTCCACCGACACCAGAAACACAGTTTACACTGTCTTTGCAGGCACTGCTTGCGCCACGGCACATACATGTCATGCCTGACGCCCTGCACTCCCCCAGCCATTAATTAACAAAGTGAGGTTTAATTTTACCACCCTCACCCATTCCTGACCTGCTTCCAGACCCCGGCTCTACACCATGCTCCTGCGGCTGCTGGGCCACCCCTACCTAACCTACCCTTTGACCACCCTGGTGTGCACCCTGAGGGCTTTCGAAAGTGCCCTGCCCTTCAGTGTTCCAATCAACACCCGCTTATTCCAGAGGCTGAAGAGAAGAGGCTGTGGGAGACTGGAGGGGACAGCACTGAGTTGAAAGCAAAGCAAAAGTCTCTCCTAGAGCCCACCCCTGACTGGTACAAGCTACGCCGTCCTTGTTTTAAGCAGCTGCCGCCTGCCCGGGGCTCTTGCTGCGCCGCCACCACCCCAGCGGGATGGCTACCATTTCCCTCCCTCCTCGGGACCATCCGCTCTCGCGTTAGCCCGCCCGAACGTACGATATCCCCCGCCCGGCTCGGCGCCTGCCCTTGGAAGAGGGGACGGCTGCGAGGAGGGGAGAGGAGAAATGTAAGCCGTACCCGGTGCTCCGCCCGCACGGGCTGAGATGGAGGTAGTAGCGGAGCCGAACCCTCCGCCGCCACAGCGGGGTGTGAGGCAGTACTCGCGTCAGAGCAGAGCGGGAGCGCGGCGGCCCGTGGGCCGCGCCGCCTGAGGAGATGGCAGCCGATGGGGACGAAACGGCAGGCGCAGCCCCCGGGGCTCATATTGGTCATAAATTAACAGAAAAGCCCGAAGTAACGTTGTCTGTTAAAGGGGCGAGGAGTCACCCCTCCAGAGCAAGCCGTGGCTTCTGGCCATGGCGGGGACCCTCTCAGCTCAGTTGCAGGTGCACTGAAATCCGGGTGTTTGAGGTAAAAAAGGTCCTTCAGGGTTGTCTAGTGCGGCCTTCCTCGAGGCACACCCCAGGGTGTGGGCACAGCATACAGGTCCCTTCGAAGGAAGAGGTTAATAAACCAAGCTTTGACACTTCAGCATTTGGCCCAGTCATGGAAATTGGCATTTATTAAATGATGAGACAGCTACATTTTCCAAAATGCACATAAAAGTATAAATGATTTATTTTCTAAGTACCAGTCAGAGGATGAACCCAGGTCAGTAGTTTTATGTTTTTACCAGAAGTGAGGATTTGGATGGAGTTTATTACAGCTTCTGGAAACGTCAAGTTACTGAGAAGTGGTATCTTTTTAGGCTTAAGTGCACATCAGGAAAGACATGTATCCTTTTTATAGAAGTTGTTTCATAAATTTCTTTAAATGTGTTTAAGTACTATAGGTTTGCATTTTAATAACACACTAATTTTGTGCTTTTAAACATCCAAGGTGCCGAACAAGAATTGTAAACTGTGAAGTAACTACTATGGGAAGGCTTAAGTAAAGCATTGGAGGCGGATGATTTTGACAATAAAGAGGGTGTATGTGGTGAGTGTTTAATATTTATTGCATTTAATATTACAAAGTAATATTTATTGTTTTCAGCTTTAATGTTAAAAGCAAAGCCTGGAGAGAAAGTTCTACTGTATTATGTACTTAAAGGTACACCTGTGACAAAGGCTTTCTGTAATCATTTCGTGATGCGTATAACACCATTCTAGTATTAGCACGCCATTTTATTTAAAGTTCATATGTCAGCTGTGCCTACCTAGCAGATATATTATTTTTTTTTTTTACAATTAAATGATTTTGCAATGCATCATCTTCAGCTCTTTGTGATGGGTTCACGAAGCATTTAAACTCTGCTCCTGGAACATATATCCTGTTATCTTTGAAATTATCCAAGTTTGCATCTTTTGTTCATTATAAAAGCATATGGATTGAGGGAATTCTGAATGAACAAGAAACAAATACAGTACCATTGAATAATCTTGTGGGGTAGATTAATCTATAGCCTTGATTCCTCACAGGGTGGGTTGCTGTGGCAACCACCCCAGCTCCCTTTAAAATAATTTTTTTAAGCTCACTTCAAGCGCTGCACCCAGCGTGGGCCAAGTTTAAAAGCAGCCAGACATGGGAAGAAGTGTTATATACTGTATTGCTCTTACAAAGAGGGAGGTGGTTGAGGAAAGCGAGGCGTGGAGTGGAGTGGGGTTGAGCAGAACTTTAGACAGAAAATAGAAACCAAGCCACAAAGAGGGTGGATCATTTCATAGTAACCTTACTGCTTTTCAGTTTAAACACCATTAGAAGATGTAAGCTGGCAATCTCATTTCTCCTAAGGGGAAAGATATGTTCTGCATCCACAAAAGAACAAAAATGGACTTTGATAATCATCTTCAAAGGAAATGTTACCTTGAGGTAATCGCACTTGTAAGGGAAAGAGATACTTGGATACACTTTGCAAACTTTGGAGATGTGATTTTGTAATTGCGTTTTGACTGTTGCCTCATTGTTTAAAACGTTGCATGCCTCAGGTGGTGGATTAAGGAAAAAAGCCCAAAAAGTAATTTTTTCAGCAGACCTACACATGACCTGTGGACAGCAAAAAACTGTAGATACGGGTCTCATGCCAGAAATCTGAAAAGGGTGCATTTGTAGAGCATCAGTACAAGTACAGACATCAGAACAAAGGTTTTCCACTGTTTGAATTTATTCCAGGTTTTAAAATTAAATGCAGCAAAGGGGGGTGGGAGGGAGGTCCTGAACACTTCAAAAGGAACAACATAAATTCATGCCTCATCTAACCCTGAGAGGACTGGGAGAGCCTGATCCCTCCCCTTGCATGTTTGTCCATCTAACATCTGTACTCTTTTAAAAATCGAGGTGTCCTTTACATGGATTTGATGAATTGTACTCGTGACAAAAACTTGGCATGGCTTTAAGGTACTTCAGTATGTGAAGGTCACAACTATTTAAAGATTAGGTCACAAGTGCTCACACAGAGATGTAGTAGATGTACTAAGCTGCTGTGTACTTTTATTTTCTGAAATACTTGCCCATTCTAGTAATTCCTTTCAAAATATGACAATGCTTGTGTTCTGCCTGGCCAGTTTAAGGGATCTTTTACCAACTGTCCAGAAACCTGGCAACTTACATGTCCTGCATAAAATAAAACAGATGTCAGTCATTTTCAATTAGAACACAAAAGTGTGAAGTATTAACACAGCTTTCTATTTTTCACCACTAAGAAAATAGGAATGTTGCCAGATAGTTGGGTGCCCTGATGGGAACTGTGTGCAGAAGAGGCATAGCAAGGGTACGACCCATGTTACTGCTCTGTATTCCCTTACTGCTGCGCTTCACGCCAAACCTGAGGCTGAGAAAGTGATTTCTTCTCCACCATTACGCAGGCTCTGCTGCTGACACTGCTGAGCATATGTGGCCCTCTCCACTGTATGTATGCACTCTGCTGGGCTGGTGCCTGGCTGCCTGGTGGCTAGGGGCATGTCAGTGTTACTGTTATTGTTGTTGTGGGTGCGTTTGTAGCCTGTAATCACCTGTCCTGTGAGAATTGCGCACTCTGTATCTAAATCTCACCAGGACAGAGTGAGGCATGATGAGATCTGAAGTCACTAAAAGGGTATTCTCAAGGGATCTGCCTTAAGAGCAGTCACAGGGTGCTTGTTAGAACTGCCTTAGCTTCGCTCTGCTCCAACTGTGCTTTGAGCATCCATGTTTTAAGAAGTGCAGTTGAACCAAGAAGGCATTTATTCACTGTCAAAACCAGAACTTCAGAAGTAGGTCAGTGGCCCAATGAGATGTTTATAGGGAAAAAGACTGCGAGACGAAGGGCTTGTGTTAAAATAAACCAAATGCACATTTATCACTACTGTTGCATTCAGTCATTTGGTTTTATCATGCGTGCTGTTCCTATTTCCAGTACCTTAATCTGTCATAAAAATAATGGTCTGTGCCTTTATAAACTCCCCTGCTGCTCTCGAAGTGTCATGAAAGTTGGCTTTTCTACACAGAAATTAAAACAGCTACCTGAAGAAGTCCAGTTTTACTCACAAATTAGTCCATGTGCTTAATGTGGATTCGAGCTCCCTTAACAGTACTGCCCTTTCAGTCCGGTTTTAGAAGCAAACGAACCTATATTAAAAAGGGCCTTGTCCTTTTGCACGGTGTGCTGGTAACGCTCCAGTTAGGTGGGTAAGTGGGACCCCGAGCAGGACCCAAGCGGGGTTTCGCCTGGAAGAAGGGCTGCTGTCCCCCCACTCTGCCGCCGGGGGAGCCGCCCGCAGCGCCGTGCAAGCCGGGCGACTTTGGGAAGTTGGGCTGCTGCAAAGAGGAGCGCAGGAGCCCGGCAGAGGTGCGAGGTGAAGGGCAGGGGCTCTCCGGGTGGGGATGCCCCGCTTAGCTCCGCTCCGTTCCGGGGGTTGGTGACAAACAGCGATGGCGGCGGCCCCGCTGCCTCCACCCCTCCTGAGGTGCCACTGCCGTGTGTCGGTCGGTGCAGACCGGAGGTGCCTTGGGGTTGGCAACACGGGGGAACATGGCAGACACCCCGCAGCGGTAAGTGCCGCAGAGGAGCGCTGACCCGCGGCCCGGAGCCGGCCTGTCCTGCGCCCCGCCTGGGCTCGGTGTGAGCATGGATTGTCATTAGGTTTGCGTGTGGCATATGCCATTACACCCACCGTAAAACTAAAATTAGCAAAATGTCAGGAATGGAAAGATTGATTCACCCGAGATGCAATTATCATTTGAAAGTGCTTGATTGAGGTGCTGATGTTCAGTGATTTATTCTGCATACCATATACATAATTAAAGTAGTGCAGTGGAGTAATTTATCAATCTAGTTTAGACTAGAGGGGCAAGGAAGGGAGCTGCTGCCGCTGCTGCTGCTCTGTTTGTTTTATTAAAACCCTTTCGGGATCTGATCCCGCCCCCTTTTTGCAAGAGTGAAACTGATTATTTCTCCAGCTCGGGAGGAGAGAGTCATTCGTTTGGGATTGTGGGAGAGAGAGAATGAAATAAGACGCGGAGAAGAAGAAAAGGGAGGAAGAGGGAGCGAAGCAGAAAAGGACACCTCATCAGGCGTGTAGTCTGAAAGCTCGCCTCCCCCCTCCCCTCTGCGATGTTACAAAGGCTGTGAGCAGCTCGCCTTTTCCCATTCGCCTGCTGTTACTTCCTTCCTGGACGCTTTCAGGACGAGTTCGGTTACTTTTAATCCGACCAGCAACAGCTCAGCCACTTTCTCCTCCTCCACGCTGTACACACGCACATACACACACACCCCAGACGTCTTCTGGCTGCTTATTGGATTGACTTTGACGGTTGTGTGTGTGATTCAAGGAGGCTGCACGTTGAACCAGGTGGTGAATATTTAAGGCTGGAAGAAGTAAAGGGATTTTTTCTTTTTCCTATGAAAGGAAAATATCTCAAGGACTAGTCTGATCATCCAAACAGCTAAATGTTTATAATGTAAGTACACTTGAAATTCAGCATTGAATAAAACATAGAGGGCATCATACAAAAGCCCTATATACGTTTCCTATTGCATTCGAAGAATTTATCAGTCGTATGTAGACTGGGATTTAGGTGGCTTGCAGACTTTTTTAAAGTGTGTGATTGTGCAATTGCTTTAACTTTTTAGACAAGTAACAGTTAAATCACTGTCTAGTGTATTACTACTGACTTGTCTCTGTCAGTGTCTTAAGTGTTTAAACTTTGATGAAGTTAGTTTACATAAATTGCGTGCTTGATATTGTGAAGTGTTCCATGCTTATTTGATTTCAATAGTTCACCAAATGCTATGACCTTGTGGTGCTTGCACCCTGATTTATCAGGCTAGAGAAAACTATCTACCTTGAGTGAAATGCTCTTTTAGCATTAATCATAAAGTGATAGGCTCTTTTAGCTCTTGAGTCTTAAGTAAGGCGTGCTTGCAACTGTTTAACTTTGTGCATCTTTCATCTGAGTACTTGTGTTAGAGAGGGAAAGACCCCTTGCACTGATGTGGGAACTTCAGTCATGGGCTGCAAACCTCTTTCAGAATAGTATTCTTTGGTCGTTATGTGACTAATCTTTTAATTTTTTAACACAAGGGAGCAGAGCTAATCAAGCCTTACAAAACTGGCTGTTAGTTGCAGTGCAGTTACAGGCTAAGGTAAAGTTTAATGTGAATGAGAGACTTAACAAGACTATTGGTGCATTATGTAACTGTAATAAGCCTTTCCCATAAAACTTAGTGTGACCTTCTGTCAGCCTGAAAAAACAAGTATAAAGACAAGCTAGTAAGTCTCTCTCACAATAATAATAATAATAACAATAATAATAATAATAAAAGCAGCACAGTGGAAAACTAAACTTACTGAATCATTGTGGGAACCTAAGCATTGTCCTTCATAGAAGAGCTGTATTTTGTATATTGTACACAGTAATTATTACTGGCAAATACCTATATCCTGAAATTAAATAATGCAATAATGTAGTACACAATTTAAGATTTAAGAAAATTAAGCTGAGAAACATACTTTGCCAGTATTTTACTGGTGATCAGAAAAGAATTGTCTTGACAAAATGCATTCCTAGCACATACCTGATGATCAGCTTAGTGACAAATGTCCTAGTTCCATACCTTTACTTTAAAATAACTATGAGATGAATGATAAACCAATTAGATTATATGCAAATATGACTAGATTTATTTTATTGACACTTTCCCAGGTATTGTGGTTGAAGAATAAAGATGTTTATATAGAGTATAATAACTCTAATCCCTAGAGGCTTGGCAGGGCATGGAAATATAACCACCTGTGAACCATTTCTAACCTCTGTATTTCATACGTATCACTTTCCAGTTTAAACACTTGGGCAAGTGACCACTTCGGGGATTTGTTATTTTGTGAACTGTTTCTGTTAGATGATTTTAGGTATCTATCATGAGTTTTAAAAACTCAAGACTTTCTTACTCCGTCTCTAAATACCTGTTATATTATTATTTCTATATTAGTGAATACATAATTCATATTGAGCCTAACCCTAAAGTCTCTGCTTACAGTTAAGTCCCTTTGGAAGTAATGGAAAAATTCTTTGAAGAACTTTAGAGAATGGCCCTTAATTCAGGGTGACTGTGTTCCTCATAGTACACATCTTTTTATTTTAAGCTTTGCTGTTTATATGTATTTTCACTAATATGCCCTATATAGCTAGTGTGAGGAGATAGTTCTGGGACCTGAACTTAAAAACCTTTTATGCAAACAGTATTTACACAGCCAGTCCTACTGACAAGGCTGACTTCTTGTGTGAAAATTAAAAGTCACAGGAAAAACAATTTGCAGGATCAGGCCCCATGGAAACCTAAACCCTCTTGCCTATCCCATAACTCTCTTAAGCCAGAGATGTAAAGAATGTTGTATAAATGCATGCAGGAATAAAATATGTCTGTATTCTCTGTAAGATTACTTGACCAAGAAAAAGGAAATACAGGCTTAAGAGCCTTGAAGAAATTGGTAGTAAGTGATGAACAGTGTGTGAGATTAACGTCTTTCAGAGTTAGTTCCTGAGCTGCTAGCTCGAAGCATCATAAGAAAATTCATACAAATACTTTCATACTGTGAATTTTCTTCCAATATAGGATCAGAAAATTTTTCTTACTTTTTTGATAAACACTCTTTATCTGTGTACCTGCAACATGTATATTGAAAAACAGAGCGATGCCTCTCTTAAATGGATCTGGTTTTTTTAAACATCAAAAATATTCTAGGCAAGAGAAACAAACCTTTTACCAAAAGTTTACATCTACAAGATTTTGTTAGCTCAGTATTTAGTAGATAAAGGTAACTACATGGACACTTACGAACTGAGCAGGACTTGTGAATAGAATGCTTTTGCCAACTTAATTCCTTTTAATCTTTTATTTTAAAGGTTAATTTATTGTTCACCAGAATAGTTCAGTTCATCTTCAGAGACAGCAAAGGATATTTCTACATCACATTGAGCAAGAGGCTGTTAATTGCTATTAGGTGCTTGAAAGAATAATCATTTGAGGTTTGATATATGTAGACTCTTTTTTTTTTTTACCTGTTGGACATCATCACTTTAAATTATGTGATGATTTATCCTAAAAATCATAGTGAAGTTTAGTGGTATTCTTTTCAAAACACTGATTATGAAGGAGAACATAAATAAGGTGCTATACATTTTCAGGGAGTTCGTAATCTCCGTGGTTTTGAAGACTAACCAAAGCAGCTCTATTTGTGATGTATTTTAAGATTTTAAATTTTGCTGCATGATACCAGCATAGAGATTTTGCTACATCCTCATGAAGGCTCTATAGCTACCTAGGTATGATATACAGAAACATTATGTATGTAATTCCGAACAGCTAGAAAACTTCAAGCTTAAGAGTAGGGGTGGCTTTCTGGTATTTGGAAAGGATGACAATATAGTTTAGCATCTTATTTCAGAAACAAAATGGATTTAGAAGAACTGGTCAGCAAACAAAACTGATGGTGCAAGTGAGAAACTGAAAAAATTAATTTCTTAATTTTCTATTTTTAAAACTAATTACTTGGGTCTTCTGACCAGCTTTAAGGTAATTTTCTCAGAACTGGTGATCAACGTTGCATGTGGACAGGTGATTAAAAGCTAGTGTCTTCAGTCCTCTACTTTAATGTCACTGTCTCATTGACTGCAGTGCAGTAGAGCTTGTCTCTTCACTAGGATCTGTCATCTTTAGGAAATCAGACCAGCTTATAGAGGTGATTCACAAAACCAACAGTGACAACAAAGTCTTATGTGCCTTACAAAAGAAGGCTTAGGCAGTTCACATGTCACTTTGACTGGGCAGAGATAAAAGCTGATTGCTGCAGCATGGCTAGGCACACTTCAATTTCAATTGATTGTTTTATAAGACAACTATAACTCTGTTGCTTAGTCATTGTTAGTCACAATTTGAAAGAAGGAAAACTGAATTTTGACATTACTGGTTTTGTATGACTTTATAGTAAAAGGCAGAACCACTTGTAGCATTGTTATAAAGATTTTTTTAAGTGCTACTTAATACACTGTTTTGGAGAAATATGTTGAAAATATAGTAGGGGATTGTCCTGGACTTAAAAAAAAAAAAAAAAAAAGAAATTGCCTAGGTGATACCCTGTAATAGCAATTAAAAGTTCTTTAAAAGTCCCTAGGACTGTATTAAATTCAATGCACTTACCCTATTAAGAGCTTACATGCAGAGGAAAGTGGATAAAACATGTCAGGGCTTTGCAGATTTATCAGAAAATTTAATATTGAAGAACAGGTGAGTCACCTTAGTTTGTCCCTAGTCTGTTATTTTTGAATATGTAACATGATGTAAAACTGTACTTGCGTATGTGTACATCTTAGTCTGGTTTGAAAAGAGTTAGAAAATTAAATGTTGTTCCTATATTATTTAAATTGTCATTTGTCAGTGAGAATAGAGAGTTTAAGATATCCACATAATTCAGTTAAAATGTGCAGCCTTTAACATTTGTAAGTAATGAAACTTGCAAGCTGATAACTTCTATGCTAATTTCTTACCATTTTTCAAATTAGTTCTTTTTTTTACACAACTGATGCCTCCTAGTGTTTCACATAATAAAAGACTAATGAGTCAACCATAAATTTAAACATTGTTTTTTTCATTGTCTTCATCTTATGTGATACATAAAATTACTATTTATGTATTTAATTTTGTGTGTGTTATTCTAATCAGACAGGAAACTCCTGTAAATTCAGATGTTTCCTCTTAATGGACTGCAAACACATTTAGATTTTCTTTCATTCTAGCTTTGCCTAGCTGTTATTTTGAAAAGTTTGTTATATGTAAAGTACATTTTCTCCTTTTGTTCCCTATGTGCATTGCACTGGCCTCTCAACAGCGTATTATGATGTTCAAATGGGAATTTTAAAAATTTTGGTAGGGTAATGTTTCAGATGGAAGCCCTGGAAAACAGGCAATAAATGCAATTATAGAAATGTTTGAAATATCCTGACGTACTCACGGCCAACTAAGATGAAAAGACTAGTCTGAGACAGACTCGCTCACTAAGTTCTTACAGAATTGTGAAGTTACCACATTTTGTAGTCATTCCTGGTTATTTTACTGCTGCATAAGCAAGAAAACTGTACCAGGGCACTCTTCCAAAAACATGCACCTTGCATGTTTGGTTGCAGATGTGAATGATAAGTAGTTTCGAAAAGGAACTCCTGTATGTAAAATACTGAAACAGGTCTTGGAGTGGTAAGGACTGAAATATATGTCCTTTTCTTACAGATTCAGTCTGGCCATGTAACTTCTGGATACCTGAAAAAACATTGTTCTATTACATTTATTTCATACAAGAGTAGAATATTTTATTTCTTTTGACGGGAGAGTGTAATTTTCAGAAAGTTAACTAGCATTGCTGTGGAAAAATGCGCCTTCTGGGTTCCAGCTATATGTTTGAACTGTC